GCTTGCCAGGCGAAATAATGAATTCTGTTTCTACTTCCACAAACATGAATCAAGCTAGAACTGAACATGAAATTTTGGCAGCAAATTGAACATCATTTTTCAATGTAATTATGTTATCTTTCGTAGCAATACCATTAATCTCTACATTGCTATGTCAGACCTTATTTTAGACATTCTTTATGAAGTACTTCGTTCCTTAGTATCTGAAATTAAGTATTTAATGAAAATCTTCAAACCTGAGTGAGTCCTGACAGCTAATGTGTTAATGTGTTTCTAACATATTGCTAACCTACTCTCTGGAGGGTCAGGACATGCCAGAAACATTCCATTTCCACTTTACTTTTTGTTGTTGTGTTTCAAGAGTGGCAAACTTTAAAAGACATCAAGCTCCCAAATTGGCCTAATCACCATTCTTCCGCCTTTACAAATAGGTTCCCACAACCAAGGACCTCAGGAAACAAACAAGCCAAAAAAACCAAAACAAGCCCCACTCCCCCAAAAAAACCCCAAAACCCCTCATACCAGATTCCAGCCGGGTGCCCACTGCCTCCTTACTCTTTGCAAAGTAATACAAACAATTCCTCCTCATAGATTTTTAAGCACTTGGAATATTTGGAGCTCTATTAGAGAAGGATGGTTCCCTATGTTGTAACAGAGGGTCTTGACCAGGCCAAAGAGACAGTCTTGGGGAGATATATATCATATGTATTTTCCCAGGTGCAGTCAGTCCCTCGGATTCAAAGGGTTGTGACCCCCAAAAGTTTAAGAAACCCTTCAAGAACAAAACCTGTGCTATTCAATGTATTCAATCAAGATCTAATTTTGTTCTGCATCTACCCAAGCTCTACACGAACTAGCTCACTTCAGACAGGACCATACAGACACAAATATTACTCAGCAGTCTTTCATTAGTCAGGACCGTATGAAATGAACAACTATCTTAAACATTGTGTTTACTGAGAAGGCAGCCAGAAGAAACTGGGATTTGGAGCAATGAAGAGCAAAGGAGTGGGCTTGGGTGAGTAAACACTGAGTTTGTTTCAGTGGCTTGAGTTGGATCAGTAGATCAGAAAAGCAAACTCAGTTGTCTCTGGCTGACTTCTGTGACACTCAGCTCTGGAACAATGACAGCCAGGTCCAAAGCAATCATAGTGCCCTCCCTCACTAGTCCACATCCTGAGTGTTCTCACTTTCAACCCAGTATAATAAAGTATTAATTGACCTTGATGAGGCAATACATGGCTTTTCTTGTTCAAGAGGATAGAATTGGCCTTTCTATTTAAGTGTGTGTGTGCGTGTGTGCATGTGTGTGTGTGTGTGTCTGTGCATGGGAGGGGTAGCAATAGAGGGGAAATGGAAGGAAGTGTGGGAGATTTCATTTAGAAAAAGGAGGAAAAGCGGTCATTTATTATTTTAACTTAAACAATTTTTCTGTCTTGTAAAAGCCAACTGGTAATTTAAATACCATTTGAACTTTTCTCTTTTGGGGGTGGGAGTACGGGTGTGAAGTTGAGACAGGTTTCTCTGTGTAGCCCTGGATGTCATGAAACTTGTTCTGTAGACCAGGTTAGCCTTGAACTCAAGGGATCCGCCTGCCTCTGCCTCCTGAGTGCTGGGATTAAAGCTGTGTACCAACATGCCTGGCCATCTGAATTTTTCTGACACTCCACCATGCTGTTTAAATGGATAGGAAGAAAGCAGAAGTCAGTAGCTGAATACTAAATAAAAAGGAAAGAATTTGTGTTGAGTTGACCCTAAATGGAAAATATTCATTTGACAATACAGCAAAGCCAGTGTTGGTCACACTGCATTCTACCAGCAATAACGTTTTGCTGAGTTACTGACCAATGTGATACAGTATTACACATTTAGAAAAACATGTTCTTAAATATTTCAAGCATATACTGAAATAATAGATAATTTAAAACAACTGCAAACCAAAAACACACAGTACATTATTGTAGGATATAAAGTAAAATCAGGCTTCTAAAATTAAATACTTTCAAATGCCTGAATGAAAATCTAATTAGAAGACTAGTAAATTTAAAATGGTCATCTCATTACCTCTCATCACCAGAGTATGTGAGAATATATAACATCCTTGAAGGTCCCTCCAAACAAAAACCTCAAATGAGAAACATGTACATGCTAAAATATTTACATCTTTTCGGATACCAAATTCTATACTGTAAAATTAGCAAAGTTTGAACTAGAAGTATAACATGAAATTAAAAATGGAAACAAAAGCAATTCTTCATTCTTTTGGGAATCCACATTAAATTCCCAGTTTAAATTGTACAGTCAGGACAGTTTTAAGTGTGGCTACTCTGAAATACTAACACACATTAGACAGTGCAACAATTTCACATGAACACTGGTGTCGTAACATGAAGACCACAGTTTTATGTAAGGTAGAATCTACAGGAGGCCCTAATCTTAGATCCCACCTGTATCCTAGGGGTTGGAAAACTCTAGGAAATCCGCTACTTGCTTGTGACTTGCTGTCATCGGAAGGGAAAGTCAAGGCAATTTCTTACAGATAACCAAGTACTCTGAATAGATACTAAAACACACCTCAGCAGTCCAATTTACTCTTATGCTGAACATAATCTTCTACTGAATGATTTCAACTTTTGGGGAGAAGAAAAACAATTCGGGGAAATAAAGGAATAGCCAACTAATTCTTCCAGGTGGTAACCTACTTTGTTGAAGAAAGTACTAGGTAAAAAGTGGGTGGGCAATGCATTTTTCTTAATTTATATATGAATGATCCACTTATCATACATACACTGGCTTCTAAATTCTGCCCAAACGTGAACTCCCTGAGAACAAGGACCTACTTCATCTCTTTACAGTCCCCAGGGGCTTAACCTAGAACAGTATTTTGGTAACACTTAACACTTTGTGGAAAAGCTGAGCTTGGCTGGTTTAATGTGCTGTCAAATACATGGTCATTGTTGACAGTATTGTAACTTAAACTGTTTGTATCACATAACTCAGAATTCTTTAATTTCTTAAAAAAAATTTTTTCCCCCCAGACAGGGTGTCAATTTGTAGCAGTTTAGTCTTAAACCCAGGATTCTCCTGCTTCAGCCTCCCAAGTGATTAAGACCACAGGTGGAGCCCCCACACCTGGCTTTTCCACCCCCCACATTCCTAATACTATGTGGTATAAAAGTTAAGTGGCTGGAACAGCTGCTTAGTTACCTAGAGTCAAATAAATGCACAGTAACTGAAGATGTTTGAGAAATATTTTGAAGTCAAGACAGTAACCATTTTGGTTTTTATAGTTTATTCTGATCATGAAATGCTTTTGTTATCAGTTGAAGGATATTCTTTCTACAAGAAAGCGAAATCAGATGAGACAGGGTCTCACCGTGTAGCCCTGGCTGTCCTGGAATTATGCAGATCAGATCACACTGGCCTCAAACTCAGAGATCCATCTGCCACAGCCTCTGGAGTGCTGGAATTAGAGATGTACACCACCATGCCTGGCCTACTGTATTTTTATGATCACTTGTTAAAACAGTAAGAGATATGAAAAACATTTGGTGGTGGTGGGGCATTGAGACAGGGTTTCTCTGTGTAGTCAGTCTGTCTGTCCTGGAACTCACTCTGTACCATGCCTTTGCCTCCCAAGTGCTGGGATTAAAGGCATGTGCGGCTTACTCAAAACTTTTTAAGTTATGAAAAGCTTGCTATGCAGAACTGAATTTTTCAACTGACATGAAAGTATTCTCTGCATCTTATGTTACCATAACACAAGAACTTGCCCCTCCACATAAAAGACAAAAAAAAAAACCCACACACCCACACATTTTTTTTTTTTTTTTGAGGCATTTGTCCTGAGATGTGAATTAGCAGGAAAGTGGACAGAGATCAAGAATGGAGAGTATCATGCAGGCATGAACATCCCCCTCCAAAACAGCACTGCTGGCTTCCACCACAGCCATTTGCCCAGGAAGTAGGCATAACCTGCTCTTACAATGCATACCTCCTTCCTATAGTTACAATGCAAAATGACACCTAAGCATAGTGCCGCGTCGTGTGGACAGATCCAGTCTTAGACACCAGCACTTCTGACTCCAGCCTTGAGAACTAACACCCTCAACAGAAGAGCATCTCAATTTCCCTTTCTGTTGAGACAATCTCAAACAAGGGTTACCTAACTAAGCTGCTGTCGTTTGACATACAGCTTTCCATCATTTAAGTTTTAATTCCCAAAACAGCCATACACAAACCAGCTCAGGGGTTCTGAAATTTCCAAAACTAAAGGCTTCCAGGTTACTTCTAAAACTAAAGAACCTAGGGCGCCTGTCAGGATCTCAGCTTCAGCAGTCATCTTCGTGCCCAGTTTGTGCTAGCAGCACTGGTTTTCATGAAATGCACCTGCACATCTTTGCAAGCCACCTCTCAGAACATTACCATACTTCCAATGTCTCTTCCAAAGACATTAAGCATTTATTGTTAAGTCTGGAAATGGTTCTGTAATTGCCGCTATTAGGAATTTGTAAATATAATTAGTATTTCAGCTTTTCTTCATTCATGCTGGACTAAGATATAAATTAAATACAATTAAGTTACATTTAATCACCTCACAAGAGGAATAATCAAGAGGCCGCTGGTATTGTAGCTACTGAAGTCTGCGACACTTCACAGTGCTTTCCTACTATGCCCTTAGCATTACAGTGGTTTTAAGGCTGTATATACAAAGATGTCTATTTCCACGTTTGGAAAAAAACAAATAGGACAGAATGTATTATACTAACTGCTGTACACAAAAAGTTGTGACTTTGTATTTGAATTGTTTCCTAGTGGGGACTCTGACTGCTAACCGAGTCAATGGCATGTTGATAAGTACAGCACTCATGTAAAGTGACAGAAACACAGACGGGTACATGACAGTGGTCTTTATAATGTGACAGACTGAAACTTACTCTTACATGCTTCATCAGGGGGTTAAGCCTAAGTTAAATTAGGTGTTTTATATCTACAATTCCTTAAGCTTTGAAATTTATTTTTAAAGGCCAACAGCTAAGTATTATCAACATGCTATATTTCAAATCACAAATACATCTTAACCTCTTAGATTCTAAAGACGTGGGTCAATTAAAAGTTACAGGCAAACACACATTCAACACACACACATCTATCATAGTGTTAGGATTGCCAAACTTTGACAATTATTTTAATTAAACAGTAGGTAAATTCAAGCCGATGCACATCTTACTGAGAAGTAAGCAGCCTGAAAGAAACTCATTTTAAAAACAAGTGAGGACAACACAGACTCCGATCTTTCGATCCATCTGCACCTGGGGTAACACCATCATCCAATTTAAGGAGACTAACACCTTTCCCTAGGAGGAATGGCCCATTTACAATAGCACGGGATTTTGAAAGCCGGGGTTAAGAGGAACTACGCGTACATGATTAAATTTCTTGTTTGTTAAACCAAGCTTTATTGATAAAATGGAATTCAGAATATCTTACTAGGAACAGCAGCAGGCCCAGCCAATCATGATAGGAAAAAAAAAAATGGCAGTCTCCTACTGTGTAGGAAGCTGCTGCTTACCAGTTAGTAACTGAATGTAAGGGCTCATAAAGAGGTGCAAAGAATCAAGGCATCTTAGCCCAAAATTGATACTCTCATGAATATATGGTATCACCTGCAATACTCTGGGCTGCAAGGAGAGGACATCCTAGAGACAGGTAAGAAGGGATGGCTGCATTGACAAGCCAGTCCCTTGCCAGAACACAAAGACAGTTTTCCATAACTCCCTGGATGTTCAGCTTTGTAGATTTTGGAATTCTTCATAATCACGTGCACATGAGCATCTAGCTATGTGGCTGCTGCTTTCCCTATCCCAACCCCAAGTCCAAACACAGCATGACTATATCTGTTGTGTCACACAACAAGCCAAACATTTCCTTTATCATTGATAGTGATTTTAAAGCAGTTCATAATTAAATATGAGCACTTTGTACAAGGACAATTACACTTTACAAAAAACCAAAATCATACAACAAAAATTGCTGGAGTCTGATTTACAACATGAATTACGGTTTGAAATCACGTTTACATAAGTTTCAAATTTACAATTAAAAAAAGAAATCCGTTCTGGGCTAGCTGTTCCAGCGCTGAAGCTCTCTGGTGTAGTCCCTCACCTATGCCGTACCCCTTCCTCAAAGTCGATGATGGACGTGAGCAGGTGCGGCAAGGTTGAGCTGTACTCTTGGAGGCGAAGGTGAATCCATGGCTAGATGATCGGCTTTTACCACATGTCATCAGTTGACGTAGAATCCTTACAGAGGAAAACAAACAAAATAAGGCATTAAACTAAAGATGTTCGATGCTGAAACGTACCACTTTCTGGATAATGCAGGAAGACAAGGTTTTATAATATACTGACTTCTAGAACTTAGTTGGTCTTAAAAGTACGTATGTCTATATATGAAATATTACTATTTAATCTGTTTTGTTAAGAAAACAAGAAATCTTTGGTCTGGCCCCACTCACCAAAAATTTCCACAAACTAAGAAACAAATCCTTTGGGAAAATATTTGAATGATTTTACGAGGATGAATAAATTTATCATTAATCCAACAAAATTACTAAAAAGTTTACCTAACTTATTTTAACTGCGTTTAGTTTATTGCATTGTGGGAGTAAAGAGGTTTAAGACAGCTTTATAATATAGCACAGACATCTGTAAGAGTCTGTGTCACTGCAGGAAGGGACCTCTCTAGTGTGTTAGTGCGGGCTTGGCCTCAGGAGTGTGGCAAAGATATCTGTAAACAAAAAAACTTCACGATGAGCATTCTGAATTCTGCTGCTGCTCCTCCTAAGAAAACTCAGAATAATCTAAGATTCTGAGGAAAGAGATCCCTAACCTAATTAAAAAATAGTGAAGGCAGGTCTTCTCAAGGTGATTGTAGAGGCTTAAAATGAGACTTTCTTTTGTGAGAGAGAGGCAGCCACTCACCATGATTACGTCCCCAGTCACTGGGACTTTGTTATTTGCCAGACCAGAGCAAGTAGAATTCAAAGCACTCACTCAGGCTGTGTCTAAGAGAACAGATCCACAGGGAAGGATGTGCATTGAGAAGAGGGAAAGGGAAAGCCGAGGGAGGAAAACACTACTCACAGTGTCATCATTTTTGTAAGGATTCAGTCTATTGTAAACGGCTTCAATTACATTCCGCCTAAATGTTAAAAAACGCATAAAGTTAATCCTTTAGAAAGTAAACCCAATAACCCCAGTCCAGTGTTCATTAAAACTTCAAAAATCATCTTATACTTCAGATGCATTTAGTTCTAGTTCCTACTGTCAACAGCAAGCCTGTCTTTAATATACCTGTGTCCTAATGCTAAAACAGAGGTACAGTTTCTCTAAAATGAAATCAATGTAACATTCCACTGACCTAGATAACATTAGAGCAAAAGTCACAGTCGATTTTATTTATTTAACAAACCAGCAGGTGGTTGCCTTGTTTATTTTAACTTACTTATTGTGTGCACATACGTATGGAGGTCAGAGGACAGTTCCAAGGATTATGTTCTCTACTTCTACTTAAGGGTCCTGGGGATCAAAGGCAGGCCACCAGGCTTGGGGGCAGAGGCCTTTATAAAATTAAATAAAATTATTTATAAAAATAAAAATTCGGGAGACAGAAGCAGGATCTCTGTGAGTTCGAGGCCAACCTGGCCTCCAGAGCATGTGCCAGGATAGGCTCCAAAGCTACACAGAGAAACCTTGTCTCCAAAAACCAAAAAGAAGAAGAAGAAAGAAGAAAGAAGAAAGAAGAAAGAAGAAGAAGAAGAAGAAGAAGAAGAAGAAGAAGAAGAAGAAGAAGAAGAAGAAGAAGAAGAAGGAAAGAAAGAAAGAAAGGAAAGAAAGGAAAGAAAGAAAGAAAGGAAGGAAGGAAGGAAGGAAGGAAGGAAGGAAGGAAGGAAGGAAGGAAGGAAGAAAGAAAGAAAGAAAGAAAGAAAGAAAGAAAGAAAGAAAGAAAGAAAGAAAGAAAGAAAGAAAGAAAGAAACCTAAACTAGGGATTTAGCAGTTGGGCTGGTAGTGTCTCCTGCACAAGCACAGACTTTTCTGGGACCCCTGCACCCACATGGTGGCCTGTGTCTGTAGAAACAAGTGGACCCCTGGAGCTTACTGGCCAGCTAGCAAGTGAGCTCTGGGTACAGTGAGACTTGATCTCAAAGATAAGGTAGAGAGCAACAGAGGGAGATGTCATCTGCCTAATGTAACCTCTGGCCTCCAAGCACATGCACGTTCTCTCTCTCTCTTGCTCTCTCTCTCTCCTCTCTCTCTCTTGCTCTCTTGCTCTCTCTCTCTTGCTCTCTCTCTCTTTCTTCCTCCCTCCCTCTCTCTCTCTGGCCCTACTTCTATTTGAGCTGGCTTAAATGGCTACAAGTGATCAGCAGCAATACCAATCTTAAGACACACTAATTAAGAATGGTACCACCATAGTTTCCAGGTAGAAGCAACTTTAACATGTTATAGTAGAATAATCCAGTGTACATATGGTCTTTGCTTTTCTTAACATCCCTTCAAAAAACTTCTAAAAAACTAAAACATCAAATACTTCCATGACAAATATAGGAATTAGTTTTTGAATAGTATTGTATTTTAAAGTCTAGCCCATGTGTGGTGGTACAGGCCTATTCCCAGCACTGAACAGCTAAAGCAAGCAAGGTTACTTGAGAAAGAAAGAAAGAATAAACAAGCAAACACTGGAAAATACAGACATGCAGAAAACTGCCCAGACTGAGGGCAATCTTGGAGAGTTAAGTTATATAAGGATTGACACAAACAAAACAAAACCCAGCACACTATTACTACAGCTACTCACACTTTTGTACTGTCACATTTCATTTAAAACAATCTTTCACTGTATTATCTCATTTACTCTTTGAGGAAATCAATGTTACCCACGCTTACAACTCTTAGTACTATTATAAATAGTGACATTTAAATACTGATGCCAAACAAGTACCACGTTTACTAACAGTGAAGACACGCCATGGACATTAGGAGTAAATGCAGTTATCTACAGATGAAGGCCAAGAGAATGCAGAACATACTCACTTGCTTGCCAATTCACCCCCTGGTGGGAGGCTGGGGATGTTCTCACTGGCTAATGTACGCATCACGTGGACTAAGTCTGGGACGCCGTCCCCCTGCTTCTTTATGATTTCTGGGAATCAGAAGTACTTGTTTTGTAAGTGTTATCAAAACTTAATTTTTAAAACACTGAAACAAAGGTTATCACAGACAGTATTTACTTTTATTACATCTGATATTTTCTAAAAAAAAAAAAAATTACTGATCTTCAAAAATTTAAGCCCAAGGGATGCAGAAAAAGACACAAAATATCAACTTCAATGAATGAAAACAAGATAAAAATGTGAAAAGAAATTCATGTTAACTTATGTGTTACACAATCAAGGTGTACAGAAATGATTCCCTTTTAAGATGCTGACTAGTTACTGTTGAGATCAACTCCTGTCCTTACACTGGATACAGGGCTTCCGCACTTTACCCTGTAAAATACATTACACATATAAAAATAAATAAATAAAAAACTCAAGACTTGAAAAAGAACCTTTAATTGTAGGGCAACTTGTTGAAGATATACTAGTTCTTATCATTTTAACCTGTATTTTTATAGTGGCAACATGACTTAAGTAGCATAAACAAATTAATTATATACTTGAACATCACCCTGCATATCAATTTTCCCTCTAAGATATCTTTAAATGATATTTCTATACACACACCCCACTTCATTGTTACTTAAGCAAGGCTTTAAATGAAAAGATCTAAATTTCATGACAAAAAATTAAGAGCAAAAAGATTTAATAACTGTATAGCTGCATTTAAAATGATTAGTTTCACAACATCAGGTTCCCCCAATGGCAGAGGGGGTTCTGCAGGAGTTATTCTCATCAGAGTCCATCAAGGCTGTGAACAAAGACCCTTATCCCAACTCTAAACTAAGTACAAGATGTCATTTGGAGACGCAGCATATTTACTCGGTACAAATTCCAGTCCAAGGCACTTGCAACATCTTTGTTTCTCAATATTTATAAGAAATGGCTTTCTTTGCCACCAGAGCAAGAAATTATCATTCTAGTTCTCCATCTGCAAATCCTTCTGAAAATAACACATATAAAAATGTAATTCTCTATTAAGCCTCAAAATGTTACTTCACCATGAAAGGCACATTAAGACAGACATCGCTTCCCATAAAATCTCTTTAAATGGTTCAAAATTATCCTTCTAAAATAAAGGCCAAATTTTACGTCTATTATATTATGCCTTCTTTTAAAAAATTCACAAAGTAAAGCAGTCTTAAATCTGAACAAAAAGCAAGGATCTCAGATTTGGTTTGCCAAGTTCCTTTATTGTGTAATCTTTAACATTTTGGCATATTGATTTTCTACATGGTTCTAGTGCTGAAAATCCACTATACAAAAATAAAGGGATTTGATGCTTACCTATGCTACACAAGTTCACAATCTAAAAGCGTAACACAACACAGTGTCTACTAAGCCAATACAATCATTTGGTTAGAGCTCTGGGTACAGGAGAAATGAACACTGATAATAAATTCAACCAATGATGGTTTAGGTTCTAAGTTAAAAAAAAAAAAAACCCACTGTATTTGATGTAGCTTACATCTTCATTAAAATATAAGTTTGATTTTTAATTGTGAATACAGGAAAGTAAATTCTCTTCAGAATAATAAAAGCTTTAGAAACAATTAGAATCTCTTATTGGATATGGGACAATTATTTAAACTGAACCATTATACTATCTATCCCTGATTCCTTCAGCTTCTAGAAAAGTCCTGAATGTTAAGGAAAAATTCTTTTAGCTTGGGCAGTGGCAAGTGGATCTCTGTGGGCTCGAGGTCAGCCTGGTTTACAGAGCAAGTTCCAGACAGACTCCAAAGCTACAGAAAAACCTAGTCTAGAAAATGCTCCCCCCCCCCATTAATTGTTCTTGGACTATACACTTTAATTAGACTGCAAAGACTTGTGATGCCTTCATAAAGAATAGAAATGTCAACAATTCTGTTTCATAAACAGACACAAACACACTCCGATCCTCCCCACCTTCCTTAAGGAATTCTCAGTTAGTTCCTTCCATCTTAGCAACTTCTCAGGGAATCAGGCCAGTAGCAGCCATGGGAAAATCATTCATGGGTGAGTATATTCTTAAACTGTCTAAGGACCATAAGCACAACTGGCAGCCATCTTTCCATCCCTTCCCCTCAGGAAAGGGGAACACACCGGGCGGGAGAAAGGAAGGTCTGAGGAGCTTTGTCCTTTCACTGTTGTAGACACAGAAGCCAAAAATGTTGGAAGCAAATAAAATAAGGCTTACTAGGTCACAGCAATTTAGTCAAAGCATGTATGTAAAGAAAGAAAAAGGTATTTGGTGATTGTTTTAGAAGCTGTGTGCTTCTTCACTTAAGACATACATATTTACAATGCACAGATACACCCCTTCTATGTCTTTAAATAGCAGTGGCTTTAACTAACATGATTTTCTCTCTAGTTGCATCCCATCAAATCTAAAAATACCACACTTCATTTATGACATATTACCTCTAATTGCATGGTATAACACTTGAACATAGCAAAAATATTGACTACTAATATAAACTCTGCACAGGTGGCAACTGTCACTTGATCATATGAAATATAAAGCTTACTGTAATAAAATTATATGTAGTGAATATTTGATAATTCCACCAAAAACTTACTTTAAAATAAAGGACACCGAAGTGAAAAATAACAATTCATTTCAAAACTGGATCCCACTCTATAGCAAAAATACTAAGGTACTTACTATTTCTTTATATCACTAAAATGTATGCCCAGGTTAAAGTGCCAAAACATCAACATTAACTTACCCCATACATGGTTTTTTTTTTTTTGGGGGGGGGGGTTCATATTTCTCTACTAATCAGTAATTAGACCAATCACTCTGTAACATTCTTTTAACTTTACTGTTTTATCTACAAATAGCATATTGAAATAACTTAAGATGTAATAAATTACAAGACCCTTGAAAATGGTGAGGAAAATGCATTGACTAGTACACTCAGGAATGAAAAACTAAACAATACAGACAGACATTACCATCAGGGGAGGGAGGGTAATAACAAAGCCTCAAGTCTCTAGATAGACCAACAACCAAACACAAGCATGATTCTAATAGACAGATTACAAATGATACCAAGCAATAAAAAGGGAGAAAATAAAATTAAGATGCACACTAACTTTAATAATGAAGACACAATGGGATGCAATAGTGTGGTAGGTCAATGCCTGCATGCCAATTATGATATCAGGAGACCAAACGCACTATTTACACTGAAGTATTTCTGTTTATAGGGCCTGCACAGAGTGACACAGTGAACCTAGTGTCTTCGGAGACAATGCTTATGCTTACACTGAGTGAGCAGCTTCAAAGACCATGTAAAGGTTGGGGGGTGGCTCGAAGGAAACACTTGCCTACTGTGCAAGAGACCTTAGATTTGGTTCCCAGATCCACAACCAACCTACCCACCCCACCAACAAGATTAATTTCTTCCAATATTCAAAAGCATTACATTTTGTTTTTTGTTTTCTTTTAAGGTACAAACACTTTCCATTTGTTCTAAAATAACCTGCAGAAATTTCATCACCACACTCCTACAGTTACAGACCACTTTCTTCATCCCATTGAGAGTCAATTCCTGCCAGGTCTGTGCTGTAAAGAGCTTATGGCTTAGGAGGGAGCCATCAAACAGCTGAAAACTGAGTTTTAAAAGCTGTGGGATGTGCCGGGCAGTGGTGGCCCACGCCTTTAATCCCAGCACGCGGGAGGCAGAGGCAGGAGGATCTCTTGAATTTGAGGCCAGCCTGGTTTACAAGAGCTAGTTCCAGGACAGCCAGGTTACACAGAGAAACCCTGTCTTAAAAAAACAAAAAGGAAAAAGCTGTGGGATGTGACAGTTGTTATTAACCATTTGACCCTCAAGTTATCAAAAACAAAACAAAAAAACAAACAAAACCACCCCCCAAAACAACCAAACACAGGTAAATAAACAAAATGTTCCAGAGATTTTAAGTTAATGCACATAGCTTTTCACAGAAGATAACATACTCAAAACACAAGACAAACTGAGTTTTCCTGGCCCAAGGTTACTCGTGCCAGTGAGTTTAGCCAGAATTGTAGACCCACACTTCAATCATTCAGAACAGAAGTTTCCTAACCATACTGGTTATTTCTAACCTGATATGGTGCCGGGGCACACATCTAAATGCTTACCACAAAATGTCCTTTCAACGTCTACACGGTAAGTACTCTTAAAGGCATGTAAAGAACTAAACTCTAAAACGTTAGACTCTGTGCTGAAGGTTTGGTTTTTGAAATAAAGCTACTTATTTTTTGTTAAATGATCCACCTTCTACTCTGCATTCCAGGTACTTGTCCAGCTCTGCCTCCTTCTTCACGGCTTCTGCTGAGACTTTAGGTGCATTGGGAAAACAGATCAAAATCACACTCATGTTGTCTCGACTTCCCTGCGGAGAAAAAGGTAAAAAAAAAAAAAAAAAAAAAAAAAAAAAAAATTGGTTTTCCTTCTACGTTTTGAAACCTTGAGAATCTTTATAACTATACCAATTATAATTACATTGTTTCTTGTAAAAAAAAAAAACTGTTATTTTTAAGGAGAAAAAAAGTAGACATGTATATGGGGGGACAGATGCCTCCACATCTCCACATAATACAGTATTATAAACAACATTCCAGAAGAAAAAATCATTACAGATTACATAATTCTCTGTGAGAATTACTGATAATTCTATAAATTCTATAAATTCTATAAAGCAGAGCCTATAAAACAAAACTTTTCCTAAATATTTTCTAGTGGCCACTTTGCTAGAAATCACCTGGCATGTATTACACGGCCACACATGCCATATAACATGACAGAACAAGTCAGTGCTAATCTTAATTTCCATTTCAAATTTACACATCAGTCACAACACACTGTGGGGTTAACTCATTTGTTTCTGAAGTGGAAATATGCAATCAGAAGGAAAACTAGATGAAGTTTGTACTTTTACAATATATATATATATATTTTGTATAACTTATATAATAAACATATTGACTTAACTTAGGAAGTACATTCAAACTGCTGTAATAGAGCACTTGAATTGATAGCCTTCCTACACTTTTTTACTTTTAGTATTTAATTCAGCTTTATGGAAAAACAAATAATTCAAACAGCTTAATATCAAAGCCTCTTGTGAGGAAAATTTCCTACACTTTTTTACTTTTAGTATTTAATTCAGCTTTATGGAAAAACAATAAATAATTCAAACAGCTTAATATCAAAGCCTCTTGTGAGGAAAATGATAAAATGTGGCAAATGCTAAGGTACTGAATCATTTTAAAACAGAACACAGGAAAATAAAGTATAATTTGAATAATTTAAAAATCCAGATGGCACTATTCACCAAGTTTTTATTTAGCCAACAGCACCTAATTCTCCAGTACTATATAGTGAACCTAGTGGGGCTGCTGACTTCGTGCACTAATGGGACAAAGAACACACACGAACTTACTGTTGTTCAGTTCTCCTATAGCCAGAAACTGACAGCACACTACCAGACTCTGTTGCTCTTTGAAACACTGTTGCTGGATGTTACATAGATTTTTACCTCTAGTAGAATTAAGATTTATTTATATTAGGCTGAATATGTGGATACATAAATGTTTGTTTTCAAATAGTAAGTCAACAAGCATCACTGACAAAATGGAACAGTGTGGCACAGACAACATTGATGCTAAGCCAAGGACCCAGATTTTCTAGTCTGGATGCTGCTACTAAAGTTGCATAATATTGTAGAAGTGAGTTCTGAGTTCCCCAAGAAAGCTAGCAGCATGTATCAACTATGTATTATCTACTAGACTAGAGGGAGTGCACATGTGTGTGCACACACATACACTCTCTCATCCCCCCCCCCACACGCTCACTAATGTAAGTCCTTAACAGTCCCACAAGTTAGTTATTATCTATATTTTATAGCTGAGAGATGTTGATCCCATTTCTGTTTGACTCTTAAGTCCGAAGAACCTTCTCTGGCTTCAGCTTCCTTATCTGCAAAATAAAGGGGCTCAGCTAGCTTATCTATGTACACAATCCCATCTGATCCTCCCAACAGCCCTATTACACAGGGTAATCTTGCCTCAAGCCACAGGGTCTCACACCAAGCCTTCTGACTTCACATCCAAGGCTTTTGTATTGCACCATACCCAACATTCACTGAACTCTGTTGTACTGATGCTACAGACTCACTGAACTAATATTCCCAAGCAATTCCAAGACTTACAGATAGAGCTCAAAACCTTCCCATCCTCTTTCTCGTGCACTCAGAAAGAATCTTTTTATCTCTGATACTCTTCTATAGTTCTAAAAAGCTTATACTCATGGCTAAAGACCAGGCATTTAGATATAACTCATGCTAACTTCTAAAGTGTCCCTCTGTTTTCAGTTGGTAAAGAGTATTTTGTAATTGTGCCCAAAACCTATTTTTGATATCTGTAGGCTCCACAATGATTAAAGGGGAACAGTAATTAATGGCATAAAGAATCAAAATGTCTAGCTACCTTATACAAACAGGTGTCGACTACTTCATTGCAAACTTTCTCAAGGTCATCAGTGACTTCGAGTCTGGATCTCACAAAGTCACAGAGCTCTTCGTTTCCCATGACATCCCAGATACCATCACATGCAAGAATAATGAACTGATCGTCCTCTTCAGACCTTTCAATATCATGGACTTCTGGCTCTGGTGAGACGAGCTGCTCTGTGGGACCTTTTCCATGGACACATTTGTAATCGAAATCCCCAAGGGCCCTTGACACAGCCAGAGAGCCATTTACACGCTGAATCATCACAGAGCCCCCTGCATTCTGAATTCGTTCTTTTTCCAGCGGGTTACTTGGTTTGTGGTCTTGTGTGAAGAAGTGAACTTTCCTGTTTCTACAAAGCAAACCTCTCGAGTCTCCACAGTTAATGAAGTAAGTATGTTGGGGAGAAATTAAGACCCCCACAGCTGTTGACCCACTTCTATCTGCACCATGTTTCTTCTCTGACATGACTCTCATGTGTTCATCAATCTCCAGAAAACCTGTTCTGATCCCATTCTTTACATTTTCCACAGAAGGTGCTCCTGCAGAGCCTTTAAAATCCTGGTTATTGGTGATGTGATCTAACAAATGCTCACAGCAGTATTTGGCAACCTGAGAACCAGCATGCCCATCATATACAGCAAAGAATGACCATGTCTCAAGTCCACTTGGCAAACCAATCACAGCCGTATGCGCATCCTCCATTTCAACTCGCCAACCTTGCATGCTGCTTAAGCCATATCGCAACCCATTCCCCTGCCCCTGGGCATTATGCTTTTCCATCTTTGGCTTGTCTAAAAATGCTCCCATTATGACTTGATCCTCTAGGTCTGCAAAGGAAGAGAAATAAGAAAGTTAGTAACTGTCTTTGAAACAAAGCACACATCCAACAGTCTTTTTGAAGCACCTACGAGATACAAGGAAACGTAAAAACTCATAGGCTATAGCCATAAGCATTGTTCTACTGACTTGGAAAATGTAGAGATTAATAAGAAAGGGAAAGGCTGATCAAGTACAGCTCAACCAGACAAGCAGCAGATGGAACTAAGTCACCAGGTAAAAGAGAGCTTGTTTGCCTCTCTGTGATACCAAGGAGGCCCAGCAGTGACCATTAACTTACATGAACTAGGCAAGATTTCAGGGTGCATTCATCATATGTAACCTCTCAATTAAGTTGTGTGTTGATTAAAAAAAATAATTCATAGAACATACAAGTATCTACTACTTCAGGAACCTTAGCTAAGTACTCAGGAATGTTGAGAGTTTGATTCCATGCTATTTAGTTTTGTTTCTACAACTAGATACCTTTGTAAAAATAAAAAGTAATTACTCACACTGGTCCAAATTTTCAGTGCCTTGTGCAGGTCATTCTCTTTAGCTGGAATTCCCTGCCTCACCTCTTTACCAACAGAAAAAAAATACACCTGTATCTATCCTTTGAAATCCAGTTCAGATTGTACCCCCTTCATCAGACTTTACAGTCTTTGAAAAAACAAGTTATTAACTACAGAGGTCAGCTTCAATTTTCAAGTTGGAATGTATTTTAATGACAAATTTTATTGTACAAAAATCTAACAATATGATAACTAAGCTAATGGTAATAATATGTATCATCACATGCTCTATGGCCGCTATGTGTAAATCATAGAAGAGATTCAAAAGGTCTAGTTCCGCACATCCTTTGCAAATACTTAACAGCCAGTTCCCTGATAAGCTAATGGTAATAATATGTATCATCACATGCTCTATGGCCGCTATGTATAAATCATAGAAGAGATTCAAAAGGTCTAGTTCCGCACATCTAACCCTTTGCAAATACTTAACAGCCAGTTCTCTGGTCTGGAATGGACCCACAAAGGTCAAGACTTAGGTTAGCCCTTGCTCACAAACTAAAGAAAATCTTAAAGGAGAACAGAATACTGAAGAGAGAAATGAGGGTGAAGGACAGTGTTCAGGTGACGTTCTGAAACCAGGGGACTAAAGATACCAGAAATGGTGTTTCAGACAGAAATGGTATGGAAAACTCCTTAGGAAAGAAATGACAAATATTGTTTCGCAGCAATCCCCACACATGGCTTTCTCTTTTTCCTTCTGCTGATTAACTGATGCACATGGAGAAAAGTCAACAAACCCCTCCTCCACAGACTCCCACCGAGTACAGCGGCCCATGTGCACAGACACACTGCAAAAACTCAAAAGATTAAAAACTCTCATGTGATTATAAGGCATACCAAAGTTACAAATCAAAAGGAAAAACAATCATGAAATACACAAGTTGTAAAAGATGAGGCAAGGCCAGGTATGGTGGCTCATGTCTATAATCCTAACAGAGGCAGTTGAATCTCCGTGAGAGTTCCAAGACAACCCTGACTACATAATAGAGACTCTGTCTCACTCTCCATCATACCCTCCAAAAAAATAAAAAAAAAAAGGGAGGGTGGGAAAAGACGCCAACTGATATGAACCAAAGAGGAAAATCAGCTCAGAATGTGATTACACTAGAAATAAGCACTTGACGGTGGTGGAGGTGAGGAGGGGAGTGAAACTCAAAAGTTCATCCCAGACAAACCAACAAGAAAGACCAGGAAGCACAAACTCCTAAGACTTCCCTAGCGGCATCAAGCACTAAAGAACAGTTATGGAGTTACACATGCTGGGTTTAAACTGGCTCTCCTTTCTTCTAACAGTGTGACCACAGCAAGTGTCAAACTACTAGCTTTTCTCAATTGCTTTCTTCGGCTGTGTAATAAGCTGCCAACTTTTTTTGGTTTGTTTTTGTTGTTTTTCAAGGCAGGGTTTCTCTGCGTAGTGTAACAGCCCAGGCTGACCTTGAACTTACAGAGATCCACCTCCCTCTGACTCCCTGAATGCACACGCTACCACCAGCTAATCTCTTTTGTTTTTAAAGACAAGTATGGTGGCACTTGCCTTTAATTCCAGCACTTTTAATCCCAGGCAGAGTCAGGGATCTCTTGAGTTTGAGCCCAGCCTGGTCTACACAGAGACTTCCAGGACAGTCAGAGCTGCACAGAGAAACTCTGTCTCAAAAGACAAAACAAAACGAAAATAGCATCAAAAGACAGGGTCTCACTGTATAGTTCTAGCTGGCCTGAGACTCACAGAAATCCATCTGCCTCAGTTTCTAGAATGCTCAGATTAAAGGTGTACACCATTATGCTTGGTCTAAGATGGTAATTTTATGGGACTGTTACAAGAAATAAATGTACAATGCACTTAGCATCATGGTAAGCACACTGTACAACACTTACTATAGTATAGCCGGTTATTATTACGCAATGCTTAGAGTATTATTTATTTGTTTGTTTTTGGTTTTTCGAGACAGGGTTTCTCTGTGTAGCTTTGGAGCCTATCCTGGCACTCACTCTGTAGACCAGGCTGGCCTCGAACTCGGAGATCTGCCTGCCTCTGCCTCTGCCTTCTGAGTGCTGGGATTAAAGGCGTGGGCCACCACCACCCACTACCACAGCAAGGGAGTCAGTTATAATGATGCTTCTGGACACCAGCTTTGTTGGCCCCTTAGTAAAAACCTTGTACATAACATACTTTTGGAGGTGGTAGAGATTGAACTCAGAATCTGACTCATGCTAGGTTAAGTAGTCTACTAATGAATTACACATTTATCCCTTGTGTAACACACTTCCAAAAATACTTTAAACACACTATTAGTAAACGGGGGAGGCAATTAAAAAAATGTCACTTCTCACCCGCCTGACAGTATCAGAAGCTGGAAGTATGAGGAAAACAGAAATTCCAGTGATTCTACTAAGAGCAAAAGCTGGAAGATGCAATGCATGTAAACACAGTGGTCCTAATGACCATTCCAGCAGTGTTAGTAATGGCAGGCAATGCCCAGGCAATGTAGCCACCCTTTTGCTTGTGTTGTGTCTGACCTGCATCTTAAAAAGTTGGAGTAAGGCAAAAAAGCTAAGGTAATACTATTCCTCCAAGTTTCTGTTCCAGATGTTCACTTGTGTTAACAAGTTCAAGTACACCATGATTCTAACTGTAGCCAGTAAGACAACTTGAAATATGTCACCTTAAAGAAACTGTCCCATATGCCAAAGAAAATGTGTACAGTGGCCATGACAAACACTGGAAATAACCTGCTTATTAGAAGGTACAACAGATAGTATTTAACAACAGACAGTTAATTCTATCAGACATTTTCCCCAACAAAAGGCAGTATCTTGAGTAATGCAGCAAGCCATATAAAATGAGGGCAGCAGACAGCTTAAGGGCAGTGGCTGCAAACTCCATGAGCACAGGGACTTTATTCAGCACTCAGAGCCTAACAGCAGAAACTCAATACCACGTCAAATTATTGGTTTCTCTCTGTGAAGAAAAACAGAGACAGGATGGCTTCAGGAAGAAGTCCAACATGGGAGTTTGGCTGTATTGAAAGGACAGGGGGAACTTGAGGAACAATGCTTCCTCCATAGTGTACTCGACTCTTCCAAAGGAAGCCAAACCAAGACATGTTTTAAAAGCACATGATATGCTCTTAAAAACTAACCTACAGCCCACATCCTCACCTCTCAACTGGAGAAGATATTAGGGAATGATTACTGGCTTACAAGTAACATCTGACATTGACTGGGTGCATGTGTGGGAGGGGTACCAGCTAAGCACTATTCAGAAATTTTATGAATATATTAATGTCTTTAATCATTATGCAATTATTGGCATTATTATATCCCCACCTTACCAGTGAAGAAACCAAGCCATTAAGTTACCTACTAATGGCCAACAGCAAGCTGCCTCAACTGGGTGTGAACTGTCTTAGCTAGGCTGACTAGCCAGCTGGGTATATGTGAGTTATGATTAAGATACCCGATGCCTATCTAACTTCCCTCAATTTCCCCACTGTGCAACGGATATATTAATAGTGACTGTCTGAATAATACTGAAGATCAGTCACAGCCTGGTAAGAATGGAGGCACTGAGCAAAAGGACACTACTTTATCACTATTATATTCTTACAAACAGCATATCTAGATTTTCACTTTGCATAAGAGACCTTGCTCTCCCCTTTAGAAACAAGTCCAGAACTTATTTACCAGATATGCATGTGAAATTATGAAACAAAATAATTCCTCAAAACTGAAGTAGGCAATTCAGAAATTTTACCTATTTAGAGTCTGACTAAATTATACAAACCCAGTGAAGTAGCCAACTATAAGGTCCATAAAAAAAATGATGCTGATTATGTAACTATGTTATAAAGTTTTTACTAATACAAATACTGTTTACACAGGCCTCTTGCTTACGTGGATGACTAAACAGTATTTTATTTAGTTCAATTATTAAATGAACAACAGGGGTGTGTGTGTGTGTCCATCAAAGTTTCGCTCAGTTTTCTAAGTATATACTGGACCTCAATTAGCAGCTGATCTCAATGTCAAAACAAAGTGCTATGGGGAACATTTTTGAATTCTTTAAAATGAAACCAACTTCTAAATTGAAAAATCCATTCATTAAAGGTCAACCACCGCCTGCTTTTTCCTGTAATGCTAGGAACCGAGCCCAGGACCTGGTGTGATACAGGCTACGGCAAAATACATCCCTAACCACTTAGCAGCTTGTGCCTTCACTACGCAAAGCTAATGTCATAATATACTAGTCATGAGGTTTCATCCACTAAAAATCACACTGAATAGTAATTTTGACAAGCTTTATATATTTTACTGTTGATTGTCTCTGAACTGTAATAGCAAACATGGAAACAATTTGACTGCTCTTTAAAAGGCAGAACAGATAAAGAGGATATTGTATATGGTACACTATACTATACTATACATCCCTATGCAAC